CGGAGCGCGCTCAGTGCCCGATACATATCAAGGAGAATGCATATCAAGCGGAGCGGCGGTGGAAGCTATTGCTGATGCCGAGGAATGCAGAACCATGACATGAGTAACAGGAGCTTAGACTGAATGCGGGTGGAGGAGGAGCTAATGACTCTCTGAGCGAAGAAGATGATCTTATGAGCCCAAAATATATAGGGCTGTAATTTTTGGGCTAATTGGGGGTAAATGACTAGAGAATACCTTTTAAGTTCTATACTTATAGATAAGGATTAAAGAGCACTAGAGCCCAAGGAAAATTTAGGGACAGGTAAAGCCTTGGGCTTCTCATTCCATCTCAGAGTTGGCAAATGGGTAAGTCCCAACTGGGTCTGTTTAGGATCGGCCGAGGTTGAGCATCGAACCACTCCAACGTAGTGGACCTTGGTTTTGTCATAAATTTCATGATATTTTGATTCCAACAGGAGAAATTTTTGGAAGACACTTGAGTATTTCTTTAATAATTTACCACTAGAAAATGAGTATTCTACATAAAAACTTTGGCATGAAATCACCATAGAAGCTTTGCACACAAGCAAAATTTGCGTAGCTTTTATCCCTTGAGGATAAGTAAAACCTATCACACGAGACACTATTATCAATCATGTGATCTGATAGTAGAGTTATCTATATTCTTAGCCTTGATTTTAAAATTTAATCCCTAGTCTCTAAGTACCATGCGAGACTTGCACCAGTGCTGCAAGGACAGCCTTGTTTCTCATATTTCATTTTGTGCTCTTAAGATAGCCATAGTGGGGCCCAGGGCGCTGCCTCTAAGAGCCCTATATGACCATGGACTCTTGCCAGAACTCTTGGTATTACTCCATTCATCCTCCTTGGAAAGCTCTGCCTTCTTTGCATTCAAAGCCTGGGCAATCTCTTCCCATGCATTTGTTGTTCCATTTTCTACAAAAAGAGACAAGTCATGTGAAGGCACAATTAACTAACCTCATTCCTAACATGGTCTCACTATTTCTATAGTACCTTTTGGAGGGGCAGGGGTGGAGGCAGCAGGGACAGGGACTACTACCATGCTGTTGTCAGGCCTTGTACTAGTTACAGCATCTTGAACATACACACAATTTTCATTGGCTCCACCAGGGACTGATTTTGCAGAATTTGAGTTGCCAAGCTTGACAAGACGGACATCAACTAGTGATGAATAACCTATCTGGAAAAGAGCTCTATTTCATTAGCATTTTCAATCCTTGGGAAGGAAGAAAAAGAAACAGGTGGAACTCATCTTGAGCTATCTGAATTGAAAGTGGCCATTAGTTATAAAATTCTGGATCACAAAACGGACTAGTTATAATCATAGATATACAAACTTGACAATTAAAAGCCAAATTATGTCTTAAGAGTCCCAAACTACAAAATGCTAACAGAGGATGGAACAACCATGTCTCAAATGCTTCATGAGAAACTTAGCAACTTGTTTCAAAAGTTGATTGACAAATTAAAAATAGCAAACACAGAAAAACGGTGTTCATAGTCCAATCAAAGAATGTATGATCTCATTCGACAAACCTCTAATGAACCATCTTCTGCATACAGAGATGTATCTGGTTGTAGTCCAGATGCCTCCTCATCTGTATTCTCCTTGTTAGTGATCGGATATTCTGCAACTGGTGCCAGCTTAATCCTATTGGATACACTGTCATAGTGTGATATTTTTCCAACCTAGCAGTAGAAGAAAAGGCAAATGCCTTTTTATGTCAATAAAGTTAGAACCTAAATAGTCATTCAAAAAAAAATGGTAGAAGTACCCGGCAGGAGGACAGTTCAGGGGTCCAAGATGACGATAGCTCAATCAGACGATAAGCAACCATATCTCCCTCCTGCAATTTATTAAGAGCATATTAATGCTTCAATTGCTAAAGATCATGGGCATGAAATAAGTATAACAGCCAATGATGATACATAGAAGTCCAAAGAAGTTAAGACCACTACTTGCAACCTTGACCAGATTATCAAAATTCTTTCACAGACAGTACCAGATCACATGAGAATAAACAAATGAAACTAAACCAAACAAACCTTTGGTAAGCTAGAATAAGGCAGAAGCTTATCAAATTCCATTTGATTATTTACAGGCATCTCTTCCTCAACAGTAACCTCTTCAGAACATGCTTGACTGAAATTTCTATTATTGTTCCTTTTTGAGGACACAATTTTCTCTTTGCCCCACTTTTGACCCTTCTTCTTGCTGTTTATTCCATTCCATTGAAAAGTTCCCTAAAATAATTCCAAACATGAAGTTTTTACATAAATGGGAACTGGCATCTGAATAAATGGCATAGATATATCTTGAACATAAATGACAAATGAAAAGAAAGAAAAAGTCAGAACTCATCAGACTGACTAGTGATGAAGGAAATAAACATTTTATGCTGTGGAAGTGAATCAATAAGACATACCACTGAAAATTGATTTTGCCAGACAGATTGATCTTCATCTGCCACATGAAAACACACTTCAGAGTTAAAATATGGCTGAAGTTGAAATTACAATTCTTGATTATAAATCAGAGTTCCCATGAGTCTGTTATGAGAGAGACAAAGAGGGAGGGAGGAAGAGAGGAAGACCTTCATCAAGAGGTTCAAAGCGAATGTGTCCTGGCCTAACCACTATGGGAACAACATTATCCTCTGCATCACTATCAGTATCACCCTCTGCATCATGTTCACCATTTTGAACTGGCTGTTGATGTTCTTCAGAAACTTTGAAATTATCTTTTGAAGGCAATTGCTGATTATCTTTTTCAAGCAATTGCTTCTGTTGCAGCTACAAATTGAATATCAGAAATTATTCATCAAAGGCAATGAAAATTAAGAATTGAACCCATTTGCTAAAGTAACATTTATAAACATGGATGATCATTCCCCTGCACTATCACACAGATAAAAGAGTTAAACATACACACATAAGCTATAATATATAGATAACTGTGTAAGAGGAACTTTTATTCCAGCTCCAATTTAATATAGACATCACGGGACAATCAAGCAGATAAGTACATGCAGAAATAAGTGCATATTCATACTCAAAAACATGGGAACTGTAAACTTCAGAGTACTGGCTGCATCAGTGTGTGTGCTTAATTTAATAGGTTATAGAACATAAAACTTAATCTTAAATCCCAAAATATCTTTGCAAATCTTTCTAAGCACTAGAGTACCTCCTTTTCAAGTCTGGCTTGCTCTCTCAACCACAGCCTTTTGGCCTTCTTACGGCGTGCACTCCTACTAGGGAACTGGCAATCAAGAACCAAAAATTATAACTGGTTTTCAGTGAGATAAATATTTAAGCATAAAAAATCAGCTAATAAAATTGAAAAATCAAGATTGTATAAACAGAAAAGTGAAAGTTGTAAGTCAGTTCCTGAAAAAATATGGCAGTTTGCAGTACGTGGCTTGCATACAGTTGGGTTCAGTGACCATAACTGCAACAACTCCTATTGATCCCCCCTTTTTTTTCTGTAAATTAACGCTTTCATGTTTTACGTTAATAATATAAAAATCTTTTCCTCCATTAAATGTTATACCCAAGGCACAACATGGAAAAGAAATTCATTAATCTCAAATTGTCAGCCAAGTGAATTAAGGTTAGGGTTGCTAACAAAAAAGAAAGGTAGCTAACAAAATCACTTTGTGAAAATTATTCTAGAACAGCATCCAAGCATAGTCTATCGCAATTGGTTTCAAAAAGCTGATAACATGCATTGGGCAAGTACGTTATCTCCAAGCTATAATCCCAGCTTAAGCTACATTATAAAAATCAAGACTTCAAATTCTTGTATTTTAGAGAGATCATAAACTAAATGCAAGGCTTTAATGGTTTTGACATTTCTAGACTTACAATCCTAAAGTTGGAAGCTTCAAGAATTACACAATAGCTAAAAGCCACTCATCATTCTGATTCAGAAATTGATCCTTTCAAATTAATTATGTTTAAGGAAACCTTTTTAGCTCCACCAGGTGTCTGAGATACATCAACATTTCCTTTGCCTTTTTCTTGAATTTGACAGAACCTGTAAAACAGAAATGAGTAAACAGATAAACATAATTCATAAACTAAAAAGAGGGAAACAAAAGAGGATGAACGTCAATATAGGTCATTTGGGTCAATCCAAAAACAGGCATGCATTACGTGTGAAAGTCAACCAAAATCATTCTTTTGTCCGTGTATGGGAATGGGACATGCAACCTACAATCCATGTATCAGATTGATTACCAAATCTGCATGCATCCCCCTTTAAATATGACATGCATGTGCATCCCACAAGATACACACATAAATAGAAGAATCATAGTGAGGTTGCCAACAAAATTGAACCCCCTTCAAGAGGTAAAGTTTAGTTAGCCAACGGTCCCAGTCAAGGCATAAAATAACAGAAATAAGAAAACATAGAGAAATAATAATGAAAAAAAAAAAAGGATAGCATCTTCCTGTCACCTTCACAACCTACATATTGAAAATTTGAAATACCTCTTTGAATCAGGCAAAGATTTACTAATTTCATCACTTCTTTTTTCAGGATCTGATTCATTTGAACTGCATGACTTCTCTGTTTCTCTTGGTATATCATCTGAATTATCCTCCTGACCATCCTTTTTCTTCAAAAGAACGTTTCTATGAGGAGAGCTTCTGTTTCTATCCTGACCGACATCAATTTCAGCAACTTCAAGAGCAGCTGGAGAGGTCTCAGCATTGGCAAATTTACTTTTCTTTTTCTTCTTCTTCCTGTAATTTTAGAAGTAACAAATCTAAATTCAAATATAGTAGAAACCATTTTGTCATCCAAGGCAAGCATTAGAAGTCCAGATATTAGATGACCCAACATAAGAGAGTTTCATTAGCTCAAATGTAGAACTTACTTTGAACTTGGAAGTTTCTCTGATGCCTTCCTTTTCTTTAAAACCGTGCTCCTGAAAGGCGTAGCTTTCACCACCACCGCATCTTCCAACTGTTCACTGTCATGGCCTCCTGTCTCCTTATCAAATTCCTCATTAGACAAAAGCTTCACAACCGGAACTACAGGCTGCCTCTCCAAAACTTCCTCCCCCTCCAAAAAATTCACACCATCACCCGCCTCAATCAGCTCAGTCAAGGTTCCTCCTTTCTTCTGCACACTGTTACAAGATAAGCAAAGAAATTAACAAAGAAAAAAAAAGAAAGAAAATGCAAAAAAAAATTTCATTACCGAACCTGATAATGTCTTTGTCATTCAAAACACAAGTTGATTCAAAAGGTGGCAAAACAAAACCATCCATCTGCATAAAAAAAAAAAAAAAAATCAGAAACCATTGAAGTGTTTGCATTCGACGCACAGAAACAAGTGAAATACTATTAAGAAAAGGGGAATGAAGAAATTGTGAGACTTACGGAGAGGATGAGGCCATGGGGGCAAGAGTGATGAAGACGAAAAAGGTGGAGGATGTAAGAGGATAAATCGCAGATGGTCTGGTGTTGTTGGGGTTTGAGAAGAATCCAGCTCCGCCGGAGTCCGTCCTTCCTCTGCGACTTGCTCAGAATGTAGCGGTCTTCGAACAG